GTCTCTCTCCCAACAAATAAATAAATGAAATCTTAAAAAAAAAGAAAAGAAACCTACTCTATAAAGATCCTTGCTTGTTTTATACAAAAAAAAAGTCCCTTCCCCAACTTTATATAAAAATAATACTCCAGGGGCCCCTGGCTGGCTTGGTCAGTAGAGCATCTGACTTTTTTTTTTTTTTAAGACTATTTATTTATTTATTTAGGGGTGCCTGGGTGGCTCAGTTGTTAAGCGTCTGCCTTCGGCTCAGGTCATGATCCCGGGGTCCTGGGATCGAGCCCCGCATCAGTCTCCCTGCTCCGCAGGGGGTCTGCTTCTCCCTCTCCCTCAGCCTGCCACTCCCCTTGCTTGTGCTCTATCAAATAAATAAAATCTTTAAAAAAAAAGATTTTATTTATTTATTTAAAGTAAACTCTACACGCAGCATGGGGCTCAAACTCACAACCCCAAGATCACAAGTCACACGCTTCACTGACTGAGCCACCCAGGCACCCCTTAGAGCATGTGTCTCGTGATCTCAGGGTCCTGAGTTCAAGCCCCACACTGAGCTTACTTAAAAAGATAAATAAATTAAAAAAATTTTTTTGTAAAGATTTATTTTTTGACAGAGAGAGAGAGAGACAGTGAGAGAGGGAACACAAGCAGGAAGAGTGGGAGAGGGAGAAGTAGGCTTTCCGCTGAGCAGGGAGCCCGATGCGGGGCTCGATCCCAGGACCCTGAGATCATGACCTGAGCCGAAAGGCAGGCGCTTAACGACTGAGCCACCCAGGCGCCCCCATAAATTTTTTTAAAAAAAGAATGTGCTATGGGATGGGCCAAGACCCAAAATAAAAACAATAATAGTAGTAGTAGTACTCCAGGATGCTGTGCAGTGCTTACTCTGCAGCCCTGTGCTCACCTTGGCTATCCCCTGGAACTTATAAGGTCACAGCTGTCTAGCTTTGACATTCCTTTCACCCTGCTGGGTTCCTGAGAGGCAGAGGCAGACTCTCCTTTTTCCACGTCCCGGTACCCAGCACAGCATCAGCCCATCACAGGGACTGGGTGCACATCTACTGAATGAATAAACTCTCAGAGAATAAGTGTCCAGAGATTAGCCAGGCTACTGTGGGCAGAGCAATGTAGCTGTCTGCCATGTTGGCAATGCAAGAATCCAGATGCTGTGTGACCCAAGGCTTATTGGTGTGGCAAGCAAGTCGTGGGTACATCGAGCCATGCCATCACGCCTCTGCTGCTCTCTATGAATTTGCAGGGCTGCTTGTCATCACATACAAGGGGCACCTGGGATGTGTGAAAGAGAAAAAAAATCTGACTTTTATTTCTTTGTGAACAACAAACACTAAGTGAGAGAGAAAACTAAAGCAAAAGTTAAAAAGATAGCCAATTTGTTGTAGAGGATATTGAGAAGTGCAGAGGTGGGGAAGACCCTACTTCAAGGGCTTTTAACTTTTTTGTGTTCATGGACCCCTTATCAGAATAAGTGTTAAATGTATAAGATAAAATACATGGGATTATGAAAGAAACCAATTATACTGAAATAAAGTTCTACCCAGGGACCCTAGATTAAGTCCTCCTCCTATTCTGTCCAGAAAAAAGCAGACAGCTGGATAAACATTTCTATGGCCTCCAATTTGGGGATGCAGAAAGCTCTCTCTCTCTCTCTCTCTCTTTAAGTAGGTTCCACACCCAGCCTGGAGCCCAGTATGTGGCTTGAACTCAGGACCCTGAGATCAAGACCTGAGCAGAGATCGAGAGTGCCATGCTCAACTGACTGAGCTACCCACGTGCCCTTCTCCTGATCCATTTCTTGAAAGAAATTCAGAGTGGGGTGTGGGAAGACAATATGAGAATTTCCATTTCTCCTTATCTAAAACATAAGAAATTAAGTATTACAACTTAACATATGGGGGGTGTGAATGGCCCTTCATAGTCCAGTCTCCAGCCTAATTCTGAGAGAGGAGTATCCAAGAATGCAAAGCCGGCTCTTCAGCCCCCTAGAGGCTGAAGGGGGCACCTCACTTTTTTTTTAAACTTTCTGTGTATTTTCATTAATTATGATAATTAAACGCATTTAATGGATACTGCATTATGTCCTTTAACAAAACCAACCTCACTAAATGGACATACATGGCTGATAAGGATGACTGAAAAGAAACAGAATACCATGGGACGCCTGGGTGGCTCAGTCGGTTAAGCGTCTGCCTTCGGCTCAGGTCATGATCCCAGGGTCCTGGGATCCGGCTCCCTGCTCTGTGGGGAGCCTGCTTCTCCCTCTGCCTCTCTCTCCCTGTCTGTCTCTCACGAATAAATAAATAAAATCTTAAACAAAAAAAAAAAAAAAAAAAAAAGAAAGAAAGAAACTGAATACCAGTTCCAGAAGCCCACCAAATAAGAAAATGGCAGAGTTGGGGCGCCTGGGTGGCTCAGTTGGTTAAGCGACTGCCTTCGGCTCAGGTCATGATCCTGGAGTCCCGGGATCGAGTCCCGCATCGGGCTCCCTGCTCGGCAGGGAGCCTGCTTCTGCCTCTCACCCTCCCCCCTCTCATGTGCTCGCTCTCTCATTCTGTCTCAAATAAATAAATAAAATCTTAAAAAAAAAAAAAAGAAAAGAAAATGGCAGAGCTGACCCTTCTGCTCCGAGCAGAAATTGTCAGTTACATAGAGGCCAAAAAAAAAAAAAGCTCAGAGTCACCCCAAAGACTATAAATGAGCAAGAACACCATCCATAAGGAAAGTGATTTTGCCCTAAAATGTATACTGTGCTTTGAAAATTTGACATTATAAAGCCACTCCATCAGATGTCTGTTCGGTCACCATGTTTTAAATTTCTACTTTTGTATACTTTATAATGTACGTATTTTTACTCTTGTGTACACTCGGTTATACTAAGTATCCCTACACTGGAGGTATGAGTTCGGTTTCCTTAGAGAAGAAAGTTATATGATCAGAAGTGATTTGAGTCCACTGGCTTCTAGTTACTGATATACACGAGGCGGGAGACGTGTGTCTACCCGCTCCGGCAGCACCCAGTAGGTCCTCAATGAAGGTCTGTTGGATGCCCCCCTCCCAGGGTGCGCGGCAGGGACGCCTGGCTGTGGGGAACTAATGAACCTCTCCGGGCCGCGGTCTCCTCATCCAGAAAAGTGGGGTGGCGCCCCGCGACCAGACGACTTACAGCTCCAGGCGACAGTCCGGGCCCTCCACGACGGGCTCCTCCCGGCACAGAGCCTCCAGGACGCGGCCCCAGCAGAAGGGTTCCTCGCCGCGACTGCCCAGCGCCCGCAGCAGCCCCAGGCCGCGCCTCGCCCCCTCCGGCCCCGACTGCAGCACCTGCAGCAGGAACCGGGCGGGGGCGTCCAGCTGCGCCCAGGGCGCCGACCCAGCGCCCTCAGCCAGAGCGGGCGCCGCCTCCGAGGCCGCCATGCCCGGGGCTCCGGGGCTCCGGGACTCCAGGGCCCCGGGGCCGCGCCGGCCGCCGCTCTGGTTCCTGACCTCAGCCTCGAGAACTGGCGAAAGGGAGCAGAACGCCAGCGCCTGCCCCGACGTGGCGACCAGCCTCCTCCCGCGCCTACCACCTGCCGGGCTCACCTGTCCACTCGGAGCTCAGCGGCCGAGACCCTGCCAAGCTTCGCGCGCGACTTTAGAAACCTATGAAGTGGGCGGGGCCGGACGTGAAGCGAGGGGCGAGGGCAGGCCGGAAGGGGCGGGGCCAGTGGTGGTCCTGGCCATAGAGAAACGGAGGAACGGAGTAAGGGGGCGGGACGAAGGCCGAGGGAAGTCCACGGATGGGGCGGGGCCACAACAAGGGTGTTCGCCCGTGGGCGGGGTCATGCCACAGAGAGAGGGGTGGGGCGGGACTTGGTGGAGGGACGGATCCTGGCCTGCTGACCCTGATCTTCCTTCCTCCACTGCTCCCTGAAGTAGGGGGATGAGAGGTGGATGCAGAATGGTTGTCAGGGATCCTGTTGTTCTTCAGGATCCAAGCATCATTTAACTTTAGCTGATGTCCGTATTATGTGCAGATCATGGATTTTGCGATAGGATTTGATCACAGTTTACCACCCCACCTTGACATCACCTCCTCCATAGGCCATCAACTGTCATCACTAGGGTTTCAGTCCTCTCCAGAAATATTTGATACACAACTACCCCTGAGAATGGGGTGGTAGTAAAACCTAACACTATCTATATGGCCAAAGGCCTTGCTGTGAACTTCCTCTGAAGTCCGGGAAGCCGGCTTGCTCTGGTTGTTTCCAAGGGGCCAGGAGCGGCTCCACCTCCCAAGGTTTCAGTTTAAGGAAATCTGCTGGAGAAGGCAGGCTTCCAGTGAAGTGGAGGGAAAGGAGGAATCACTGCAGAGGATAAAAATAAAGAGAGAGGGGATGGGGTGCCTGGGTGGCTCAGATGGTTAAGCATTGGCCTTCAGCTCAGGTCATGAGAGTCGGGCTCCCAGCTCAGCAGGGAGTCTGCTTCTCCCTCTCCCTCTGCCTCTCCCCTTGCTTGTGCTCTCTCTGTCTCTCTCTCAAATGAATAAAGTCTTTAAAAAAAAAATAAAGAGGGGAGAAGAGCCCCCACAGCACCCATAAACCCTACTTTGGGTTCCAGTTTCTATTTACCATTCTCCCAGCTTCTGCAGCAACACACATCCATTCATTCAATAAACCTTTACTGAGCACCTAGGGCTGGGGATTTAGGGAACAAAACAAAGACCCTTCTCACTGTTGTTGACACTCTAGAGAGGAGAGACAACTAATAAGTAAACAATAGAATGTTTGATTGTGATTAGTGCTTTCAAGAAGAAGAATATAGCAGGGAAGGGAGATAGGGTGAGGTAATTTTAAGTAGGTAGTCAGGCAAGATGAACCTGAAGAAGATAAGGAAGCAAGTCAGATAGAGATCTGTGGGGAGGCCATTTCAGGCAGAGGGGACAGCACATGCAAAGTCCCCGAGACATAGTGCGACTGGAGCAGAATGTACTTGCTGGAGAGTAATCAGAGAAGAGATCAGAGAGGTAACTGGGCTAGATCTTGTGAGGCCTTGAGGTCATAAAGAGGACTTTGGTTTTTCACTTTGTATGGTAAGCCATAGGAATATCTTGTTTGTTTTTAAGTAATCTCTACACCCAATGTGGGGCTTGAGCTCATGACCCTGAGATCAAGAGTTGCATGCTCTGCCGACTGAGCTAGCCAGGTGCCCCTGAACAGTATGGTAAGCCGTAGGAATATTTTGAGCTGGATCTGATTTCCACTGGAGCCATGTTTTTTCCCAAAATAATTTTAAGTGAGGTGTTGGTAAAGACTAAGGAGTATTTCTTAGCTAGTGACTGCTTTGCAAAGGCTTAAATAGCAGGAAAGAAGTTTTTTGCCAACACCTCTATCTCAGGTTAACTGTTCTAACTTCATAGAAGATGTCTTTGGTCTTCAAATGACCAGCTGTTGGGGGAGAGGGGAGAGACAGGCCCTGGCAAGTAGTGGGTAGGGTCAGGAATGCTAAATAAACTTCAGTGCCTTGCCAGTCCTCAACTCTCAGCTTTACTCTGAGATGGTGGCTCTGGCTCATGCCCACTAAGGTGGGCATTCTAGCCAATGGGAAGGAGAGCAGGGAGGAAAGTTCTAAGGGTGGTTCAAGAACCCTGGGGGATCCTGGAGAGCCTTTCATGGGATCCATGATGTCATTACTATTTTCCTAATACTAAGATGTTATTTGCCCTTTCTACTCTCAAACTCTTAGGAGCATAAAGTGAAGTTTCACAGAGGTCAAGTGACGGGTGACATTGCAACAGAATGATTGCAGAAACAACCCGTGGTTCAGGGGGAGGGCATCTGGGCTACGAGCAGACATTCTTTAGATACCAGCAATGATGGCTTAGATGCATTTTATTGGTTTTATTTCAGAATCCTACAAAAGAACAAAGTTAAAATCCAAGTCCCTGGCAAGAGAGTGAACCCTTTCCCTTCCTCTTCCCTTGATCCCCAGTTGTGTCAGTGCTGCGCTCCTTGGGCGTGGAGGGCTTGCTACTTCAGCCCCTACCAAGCCCCAAAAGGGAAAAGACTTATCACCTAGCAACCCTTACCCCTCAGCCCCATCCCCCACATGTTGATCCTGGTTACAGAAGGCCGAGGTAAGAATTATCGGGATCCAGCAAGAGTTCCGAACCCCAGAAGGCCATGGCCAAGGCACAGTCCATGAAGAACACTTCGTCTTCCTGCTCGGTGCCCCCTAGGAACCCTGCTGGGCCCAGCACCTGGGAGTAGAGAAAGAAATCAGTGAAAACCCATCAACTTCAACCCTATTGCCCCAGGAACAAGAGAATCAAGGCTGACACATAAGGTTGGGCAGGTTGTACATAACACAAAGATGCCCCATCTGAGCAGGCACCATTATCATTATGAACATCGTGTATGGCTTTTACATTTATCGAAGACATTTATTGTAAACATGGCCAGCAGCCTCCCTGTCCCATATTCCTGCTGTTACCACCTCACTCCCAGAGGTCAGCTGCATACTCTCAGTCCAGGGAGGATCAGAGGTCAGGGCTTTATCCGGTTGCTGGTGCAGATAAATACAATCAGACTTGAAGGGGCAGCGGCCATTCCCTTGCATGAAGAATCGGCATCGGATCTGGCTATGAGAGGACAGAAGGAGAGAAGACTGTTGCTTTCAAGCCCTGTTGCCCCAGAAAAAAGGAGCACTCAAGGCTGACATGTAAGGTTGGGTAGGTTGTACATACCACAAAGCACCACTCCTGTGCAGCCACTGAGGGTATCACAGTGTAGATTTTACTACATTTATTACAACTATTTTCCAGCAGATGGCAGTAAAGTGTCTTAAGGGATGCCTTTCTCTAAGTCCCACAAGGTCGATTTGGGCCAGCAGTGATCCCCGGAATCTCTTTTCCGTCTTTGAACTAAGTTTCAATAAAAGCACCAATACAGGAGAGGTTTGTGGGCAACCTGTGATCGGCTTACGTAGGACCAGCTTCCTTCTTGCGGAGAAGGATGGATGAGAGGCAGAAAGGAAAGGACAGATGCCTGTTAATAGGTTCTTCTCTGCATTATCACTCTCTGCTCCACACCTTTGAGTCCTGCCCACTTCCTGCAGCCCCAGTGTGAATGCAGGACCCCACTGACTCCCCAGGCTGGAGGCCTGGGAATCCCTCTAAACAAACGGCCCTTTCTCTTCTTCCTCCTCCTATTTACCCAAACCTAGCATCAGACAGGAACCCCTCCATCTGGACAGCCTACAAAAACCCCACACTCAACCTGTCCAAATCCCCCATCAGCTTCTCTCTCTCTGGGCTCATGTAATAGTGCCATAATGTGGCCACATATGCTCAGTAAGATATTCATCATTTTTTTTTTTAAAGATTTTATTTGAGAGAGAGCACAAGAGCAAGAGAGAGCATGAACGGGGGGAGGGGTAGAGGGAGAGAGAGAAGCAGACTCCCCACTAAGCAGGGAGCCCGATGTGGGGCCTCGATCCCAGGACCCTGAGATCAAGACCTGAGCCGAAGGCAGATGGTTTACCGACTGAGCCACCCAGGCGTCCCATATTCATCATCTTAAATCTTCCTTCTCCACCTCACTGTCAGTTGGCCACCCAGGTCTGGCCCTTTTTCCTCTCAAGTCCATATCCACCCCCCCGACCCCCTTCCTCCCAGGATGCACTAGGAGTCAGAATGCCTGGGTTCAAACCCCACTTTTTCACTGAAGTCATAAAGACCATGCCTCAGTTTCTTCTTCTGCAGCATGAGGGTCGTAGGGTGCCCTAGTTCATGGAGTTGATAATGGGCAAAGTCTGTCATACAGATTAAGCCCTTCTGCTACCTTGTCTCCTAGCACCCCCAGGCTGGGTGCTCCCTTCTGGTGGTTCTCGACTGGTACCCCAGATGCCAGTAGTTCCCCACTTTGGCCTACCTCTGCCTTGAGTGCTCTCATTTCTCCCCTCCTGAGGGGCCCCTACTTCTTTTCCAACACCCAGCTCAAATACTTCCTCCTCTGTGAGATTCACCCAAGAGTTTTGTCTCAGTCACTTTGTTGATCCAGCTATTATAGTTCACAGACAAAATCCAGGTGCCTTCTCAACAAGGTCAAATGTCTCACAGGTGGAGACAAGACCTTTTTTATCCCACCCTTTATCCAAATATACTTTGCATATGTTGAGTATAATTAACCCTTTGGGAAGGTGGAATTAAGAAGCTGGAATGTACCTAATTCCAGATCTGGATATAGGCCCACCCTCCCCAATAGATGAAAAACCTACCCACCTTTTCCCTTGCTCCGAGGGCTGACCTTCTGATCTCCTTCTCAGAGACCCCATGTTTTCAAAGATCATCTATGCAACAACATGTATTCCTATCAATCTACTTTCGGGAAAGGGAAAGGGGAAAGGGGAAAGGGAAAGGGAAAAGGAAAAGGGAAAGGAAAAGGAAAAGGAAAAGAAATAGAAATCAGAAGTAAAAGCCAAGCAGGGCTTTTCATTTTGCTGAGAAAACCAGAGTTGCCCTGCATTGACCCTGAGCCAGGCTGGCAGAGAAACTTGGGCTTGATCTGCTGCTGCTGTCTCTGTCACTTTCCAAAACAGTGGAAAGAGCTCACATCCTCATCTGCCATCTCCATGGCTCTGAACTTCTAGGATTTGGGGGATCCCAGGCTGGGAACCAAGGCTGAGCCGGAGTAGCGCAGGGGCCGCCTTCCCCTCTCCCCTAAGCTGCCAGGCTCACCAGGTCCGAGCCTTGAAGTTCCTGATGAGTTGCTCCTTCGCAGCCCCCTTGCTCACCCAGAATTTGTGGGGGATGATGTAGCTGGAATGGACCCGGCACTGGGGACAGGCCCTGCGGGGGTGATGGGGCGGGAGAGTGGTCACGAGCCCAGACCTCTCGGAGGGGTTTCCCTCCCTCCCGCCCTGCTCCTCCTGACACTGACTTGATGACGTCCAGCGGGAAGGTCCGCTGGCTCTTCCTCCACGTGCGCAGGCAGCCCAGGCAGTGGGCGTGGCTACAGTTGGGCAGGATGCCGAAGATCCGCTCAGCCTCTGGCTTGTCCCACACCTTGTCCATGCAGATGCCACACACAACGTCCCGACTGTCCTGCTCCCTCTGCAGCCACACGCAGGGTCAGGGCACATCCCCATCCCCCCCCCCCCCGCCGCCCCCCAGACACACTGCCGCCGCACATACAGCCCCGGGGACCACGGAGCCCTCCTCCGGCTGGCCTGGGCGGCTCGGAGGTCCAGCCTGGCATCCTCTGCCACTGCCCCTCCCCCACAACCTGCTGCACCTCCTGGTCCAGGCTCTGAAGTGGGGCCACCAGCTCCCGGACGGGGTCTGACGTAGGCTGATGCTCGCGGGACTCGCTGTGTTCCACGTCAGCAGCTGTTGGGGGAAACTGGATCCATTCATTCATTCATTTACTCATTCACGCAAGCTCTACCTCCACGCACACAAAGTCCGGCCCCCAAGTAGCTCAGAATCCAGGCAGAATTGTAAGTCTCTGGTACAACCACTGAGAACCATGCGGTCCGGTAACAGCAGCTACTGGCCACATGTGGCTAGTGAGCACCTGAACTGCAGCTAGTCTGAACTGAGAGGTGCCGGAAGTGTAAAATGCACGTATTTCCAAACTGAGTACCAAAAAGACTCTAAAATGTTCCATTAATAACTTTTTTATATTGATTACAGATTGGGATAATATTGGATAAAGAATCTTTGATAAATTGGGTTAAATAAAATATAATATGAAAATTAAACTTCACCTGTTGCTTTTTACGTTTTTTTTTTAAGATTTTATTTATTTATTTGAGAGAGAATGAGATAGAGAGAGAGCATGAGAGGGGGGAGGGTCAGAGGGAGAAGCAGACTCCCTGCTGAGCAAGGAGCCCGATGCGGGACTCGATCCTGGAACTCCAGCATCATGACCTGAGCCAAAGGCAGTCGCTTAACCAACTGAGCCACCCAGGCGCCCCCCCCCCTTTTTTTTAATAGTAGGCTCCACACCCACACCCAGCGTGGAGCCCAACGCAGGGCTTGAATTCAAGACCCTGAGATCAAGACCTGAGCTGATATCAAGAGTCAGACCCTTAATGGACTGAGCCACCCGCTTGCCCCTGCTTTTTACCTTTTTAACATGGCTACTAGAAACATTTAAATTTCATATGTGAATTGGGACCACTTTGGAAAAGAGTTTGGCAGTTCCTCAAAATATTAAACACAGAGTTACCATATGATCCAGCAATTCTACGTCTAGGTATATACCAAAGAGAAATGAAAACATATGTCCACACAAAAACTTGTACATGCATGCTTATATCAACATTATTCATAATAGCCAAAAAGCAAAACAACTCAAATGTCTATCACCTGATGAATTAATAAAACAAAAGGTGGTATTTTCATATAGCAGAAGAGTATTTGGCCATGAAAAGGAATGAAATCCTAGGGCTCCTGGGTGGCTCAGTCATTTGAGCATCTGCCTTGGGCTCAGGTCACGATCCCAGGGTCCTGGGATCGAGTCCCGCATCAGGCTCCCTGCTCAGCACGGAGCCTGCTTCTCCCTCTGCCTCTGCTTCTCTCTCTCTCTCTGTCTCTCATGAATAAATAAATAAAATCTTTAAAAAAAAAGGAATGAGGGCGCCTGGGTGGCTCAGTTGGTTAAGCGACTGCCTTTGGCTCAGGTCATGATCCTGGAGTCCCGGGATCGAGTCCCGCATCGGGCTCCCTGCTCGGCAGGGAGTCTGCTTCTCCCTCTGACCCTCCCCCTTCTCATGTGCTCTCTCTCTCATTCTCTCTGTCTCAAATAAATAAATAAAATCTTTAAAAATAAAAATAAAAATAAAAATAAAAAAAAGGAATGAAATCCTGATCCATGCTACAACATGGATGAACCTAGAAAACGTTATGCCAAATAAAAGAAGCCAGCCACAAAGGGCCATATGGTGTGTGATTCCATTTATATGAAATGTCCAGAACAGGCAAATCCACAGAGAGAGAAAGTAGTTTAGTGTGTGCCAGTGGGGGGGGGGGGGGGGACGGAGAGGATGTGACTGCTACTGGGTTTCTTTTTGGGGTGATGAAGATCTTCTAAAATTAGATAGTGGTGATGTTCATAGTACTCTAAATATACTATGTCACACTGGATTGTATACTTTGGTGAATTTGTGAATTATATCTCAACAAAGCTGTTAAAAAATTATATGTGTGACTTGTATTTCAGTTGGACAGCACTGAATTAGAGCAGTAATTAAAAAAAAGAACCACATTTAGTGTTTACTCTATGCCCGGTACTGTGACCTAAGCACATCACATTTATGAACTCATTGCACTTCACAAGACCCTGGGAGACAGGTTCTGTTATCATTGTCCTTTTGTAGATGAGGACACGGACATCCAGAGAGGTTAAGGGACTTATCCAAGATCACACAGCTGCTGAGTGGTGGAGCCGGCTTTTGAAACTAGGTGGTTTGACTCCACAGACACCATGATACTCTGCTTCTAAAACATAGACAATGACAGAGCTGGAGGCAAGTGTCCCTCTAGCTGGAAATCTTGAGGTAGGAAAGGGATAAAAGAAATATAAACCTTGCTCAGAGATAGCACAGGAACCCTGGTCTCAGATCCCACCTGTGTCCCCCCTAAGGGCCACTGATGACTTACATGATGGTGAGAGGGAATTCCAGGGACTGCCACCAACCTCCTCGGCCTTGCTGGCCAACCCCGCCAAGCCAGGCTCCATGCTCCAGCAGGCCCCGGGCCAGTCCCAACCCACAGCCACGGAGGGCAGGTAGGTGGGCTCGGAGCCCCTGCGGGTCAGCCCCAGCCGGGGTCTTGGCAGGGTGACATGTGGCTCCGAATGGCGCCGGCCCCATTCCAGGTGGCCAGGGGGCTGAGGGTGCTGATAGCTGCATTGGGAAAGAGAAGTGTGAGGAGATCAGATAGACCCTCCAGGGCTCGGAGCTAGCTCAGCCTAGAATTTGGAGCTGAGAGGGGAGAAGAGGCTTTGGGAAGATGCATGGTGCATGGAGGGAGGATTCCTCCTGTGTCCCCCACCCTCTTCCCCGTTTTAGGAGAGGAGTGCTTACCTGCATTGGTCTCCGTGGAAGCAGAAGCCTCGCTGGAAGTATCTGCAGACTTGGGACACCTTCCTGTCTTGAGCAAAGTAGTAGCTCAACCTCCAGCGATGGGCCCCTCGGGCAGAAGTCCTAAGAGATTGAGTCATGCTCAGCCCCTTTGTGATCCTTAGACAGAGAGGCTGTAGGATTGCAGAGCACGGGCTCTGGAGTTGGTCCTGCCTTCAAATCCTGATCTTCTGGGGTGCCCGGGGTGGGTAACTCAACCTCCCTAAAGCTTGGTTTCCTCACCCTTAAAATTAGGTTAGCAATGCTTCATTGTTACCTCAGGATTGTTGCGGGGGGTTGTTTAAAGATTTTGCACGATGCACGTAGTGGGTGCTCAGGAAATCACAGTGATTACTCTTCCGTCCTCCAAGCACAGTCTTTCTGGAGTCAGAACTCAGGGTTCAAATTCTGGTACCAGGGCCAGCCTCAGGGGCATAGATCTGTGTTGTCACACAGGGGCCCTGCCCTTGCTTTAATGACCTGCTGTTGCCCTCTTAAAAGGATTACATTTAAAAATATATATATATATATATATATATTTTTTTTTTTTAAGATTTTATTTATTTGACAGAGAGAGAAACAGCGAGAGAGGGAACACAAGCAGGGGGAGTGGCTCCGGGAGAAGCAGGCTTCCCGCCGAGCAGGGAGCCCGATGCGGGGCTCGATCCCAGGACCCTGGGACCACGATCCTGAGCCAAAGGCAAGACGCTCAACGACTGAGCCACCCAGGCGCCCCTAAAAAATATTTTATTTGAGAGAGAGCATGAGCGGGTGGCAGGAAGCGGAGGGAGAGGGAGAAGCAGGTTCCCCGCTGAGCAGGGAGCCCGATGCAGGGCTCGATCCCAGGACTCTGGGATCATGACCTGAGCTGAAGGCAGACGCTTAACCGACTGAGTCACCCAGGGGTCCCTGAAATGATTACATTTTTGAACAAGGGCCCTGATGTTTTTTGGAACTGGGTCCCACAGATTACATAGCCAGTTCTACCTGATACCACTCCTTCTTGGTTGTGTGAGCTTGGACCACTTTTCCATGCCTCAGTTTCTTTATTTGTAAAATGGGGATAATATTAGTACCTATTTCATGGGGTGAGGTCAAATTTAAATGACATAATATATTTAAAAACAATATATGGGGGCATCTGGGTGGCTCAGTAGGTTAAGCGTCTGCCTTTGGCTCAGGTCATGATCCCAGGGTCCTGGGATCGAGCCCTGCATCGGGCTCCCTGCTCAGCCGGGAGCCTGCTTCTCTCTCTGCCACTCCCCCTGCTCTCATGCTCTCTCTCACTCAAAAAAATAATATCTTCTAAAAAATAAAATAATAAAGACAATATATATAGCAAGCCCTCAATAACTATTAACAGTTTTCATCTTCATCATCACAACTACAGGGGCTTTTGAGGGAGAAGGTGGGAGGCGGAAAAGGGAAGGAGGAAGATGGTTGGGCAGGTGTTTATTGAGAATCTACTACATGTTCAGGCCTGGGCCAGGGCGCTAGGACAGTTGTCCACTCTTGTCATGTGTTTCCTTGCCTGGAGGGCAAATGAGACCACACATGAGGCGGCCAGGGCATCAGGGATGGGGACAGAGGCCCTATTCTAGTTGCAAGAGAACACAGACTGCTAGCCCAAGCTGAGGGTCTGCCGCAGAGTGGCCAGCACCATTCCCCAGAGAAGGTCCAGTGGTGAGGCCCGGGCCGAGACGCAGGCAGAGGGAGAGAACGATGGACGACAGGCCCCCAGGGCTTGTCAGTGAAGGTGCCAGATTGTGGGTCACATGCTCCTTCATTTACAACAACAGCGTGGGACCCCGGGATGAAGAACCTGCCTGTGGAGCTCCTGCCGAGGTGACAGAGCAGAGAACCAAGAAATCAGGGCCATAACTAGTGGAAGGGGAGCGAGGCATTCACCTCAGACACAAAATTTCGAGGGATGCCCCCCAAAAACCTCACTAATACAAGAAATAATATCTTAAAGATCAAAATTCATGCCAAAGAAACCTACGATGACCAAAATATCAAACTTTGAAACAAAGAGGATTCAATCCCACACAATTTATCTGCTTTGCCTCCCCCAGTCCAGGCCCCGCAAGAAGGGCACAACCGACCCAGACAAGCACAGGCCGTGAGAAGGGTTCAGCCAGGGACAGACAGCTGGTAAGGTGGGGACCGACTTTTGACAGGGTGGCCAGGGAAGGCCTTTGATGAGGTGCGAGAGGTAATAATCATTATTCCAGTGAGGGTTGTTCTGTTATTACATAATAAAATAATAGTAATAGTAGTATGGTTGCTCCTTTTATGGAAGCTATTGTGAGGGCCAGGAGTGTAATGTAAGATCATTACACAGTAATTATTGATGAGAGACCACTATGTAAATTTTGGCATAATTCAGAGGAAATTCAAAGAATGTGCTTGTGTGCTCTCTCGCTCTCCCTCAAATAAATAAATCTTTCTTAAAAATTGAAAATAGAAATTGATGCTGAACCCTGGCTTCTTCTAACAATAAGCAATATTTATCCATGGACACATGAGCTTTTGCGGGGGGAGAGAAAAAGCAACTGTCCCGTCTATCTCAGGAGAAAATTTTCTTTCTTTTTGTTTTTTTTCTTCAGGAGAAAATTTTCTAAAGAAATTTTTTTGTTATTTAATTATTAACTGTTAAAGTATGTAATATATTTAAGTTGTTTTGATCAATTGATTACTACTAATAACAACATCCAGAAAAACATAAGTTTCACAAATATTTTTGTTGCAGGAACATAGAATATTGTCATCAGTAAAAGATGGAATCTGAGAATAAAAATATGTTAAGATAAAACTCTGGGGAAGTGAAATAGAAAAGGCACTCAAGGAAAAAAAAGGAATTATGTAAAACTGTAAGAGCCTGTATTTGGGGCACCTGGGTGGCTCAGTCGGTTAAGCATCTGCCTTTGGCCTAGGTCATGATCCCCCGGGGACCGGTGATCAAGCTCCCTGCTCAGCGGGGAGTCTGCCCCTCACCCCACACTCTTGTGCTCTCTCTCATTCTCTCTCTCACTCTCTCATAAATAAATAAAATCTTAAAAAAAAAACCTGTAAGAGCCTGTGTGTGTATATATATATATATACATATACACACACAAACACATATAAAATACATATATATTTTTAGATGGATGACATTATATGTAAAATCTCTCTGGTAGTTAGATGCCACTGGATACATGAAAAGAATCATGTACTTATTCACAGCCACCCCGCTCACCTGCCATTTCTGGTCAGCTGCCCACACAGCGAGTTCACTGGCAAGACCCACAGCCAACAGCCCAGAATACCTTGGATTGAGATTTCTACTCAGAATTAGAGCCTGCCCCAGCCCAGTGCTCCCTGGAACCTTGTCACCATTCTCACTACCTGGCTTGGAAAAAGTGAGAAGCTGATACAGGACTGAGGGCAAGTTCTTGTGGGCTCAGGGCTTTGAACATATCCCTCAAAATCTTGCCTCAAGTGCCAGCCTTGGAGAGGAAAGATTCAGAAATGACAAAAAGCATTTGATTTAGTGATATAACTTCTCTTTAAACACATCTTTTAAAAAGCTCTTTTGGATTTTTTTTTCCTAAAAAGTTATTGTTTTATTTTATTTTTTTTAAATAAACTTTTTTTTTTTTTTTTAAGATTTTGTTTATTTATTTGACAGAGAGAGACACAGCGAGAGAGGGAATGCAAGCAGGGGGAGTGGGAGAGGGAGAAGCAGGCTCCCCGCAGAGCAGGGAGCCCGATGCGGGGCTGGATCCCAGGACCCTGGGATCCTGACCTGAGCCGAAGGCAGACGCTTAACGACTGAGCCACAGAGGCGCCCCTATTGTTTTATTTTAAAGTGGGACTATTTGGGGCCACCAACTACCTCCTTCACAAGCTGAGTGGCTCAGCGACAAGAGCTCTCCAAGCGTGTCCACGGGGGTTCAGCCCCTTCGATGAGCCACAAGAAAAGGGGCTAGGGGCTTTGTGATCAAATCCATTTGAGTATCTCTTCCTTCTATATTTTCTTAGAGTCATGCTGTATATCGTTTATTGTACGTGAACATATAAAAGGTTCTGGTAGGGGCAGCTGGGTGGCTCAGTGGGTTAAGTGTCCAACTCTTGGTTTCAGCTCAGTCATGAACTCAGGGTTGTGGGATCGAGCCCCATGTGGGGCTCCGTGCTCAGTGGGGCATCTGCTTGAGGATTCTCTCCCTCTGCCCCTCCCCCAACGCTCTCACACACTCTAAAATAAATAAATAAATCTTAAACAAACAAACGGCTCTGATAAGCCCTGCAAAGGAGACTGCCCCATCTAACCCAGCATTGCTTAAACCTGTTTTTATTGTTATTTGTTTTGGGCCCTGCACCCACCCACCCTTAACGTGCCAATGAAACACACGTTGCTTGTGGAAACACCAAATTAGTTCACTTAATTCTGAAAACAAGTCTTAAAAGTCAGGAGTCTTTTTTTGTTTTCCAAATCTGAGGCTCAGAGAAGTAAAGTAACTGGCCTGGGACTCAGAACAAGAGCTAGGACCCAGGTGTCCTCATTCAGCCCAATCGTTCTCTAGCTGCCTGACTGGGGGAATTTCTCAAGCCAAGCTCTGAGGCCAAGGGGGAGGGACAGAGCAGCCGAAAGGCCCAGGTAATCCAGGCCTGGGAGGCGGCAGAAGGGGCTTAGTGCCTGGGTTGCTGGAGCCGTGAGCATACCCAAAGGAATGACTCTCTCATGGCATAATGTTCAACCTGACCTGTTTCCATTCAAACGTTACGAACATCCGGCTCCATGCTAAGTCCTGGGGCTACAGAGGTGACCAGGACATCAGATCCCACCCACTGTTTGGGGTTTCTGGGCAGAGAAATCTTCGCTGAGTGGAAGAGAAAGAAGGCAACTGGGGAACGGTCAGACCTGAGCTAGCCCTGACGGAGCTGTGCAGCCTGGGTGTGTCTTTTCTCCTCTCTTGTCTCAGTCTCCTCCTCTGGACTATGAGGGCATGGGAAGTGATCTCCAGACCCCTCCAACATTGGGGTGGGGGCAAGGAAGCCCCTCCTTGGCCTGATGCACCCCACATTCTTAGACACTGGGCTTTCAAAAGCCAGGCCGAACCTCAAAGCCTTTTCTCCCACCTTCCCTGGGTTCCCCTGAGACCCAGACCCCCTACCTGCATGGCCGCTGGGAGCCGGGGCTGCTCTCTCTACCATGGCCGCTACCATCTGCCCGCGTGGAGCCCATTCCAGCTGCAGCCCCCAGTGAGAATCAAGCAGGCTGCTCCGGTGCACCTTTATCCTCCCTCTCCAGGCAGGGCCAAAAGGGGGAGGGGCTCCCCAGCCAGGCCTGCCCCTTCCCTTGGCCCCAGGTCTGCAGAGGGGAGGAAGAGAGGGCGGAGGCAGGACGGTTGGGAGGCTGTGGGGTTGAGCAGCCCAGTTCAGGCTCCAGGAAGTGCGTGGGGTGGAGCATGAGGGCCTTCAGGGATCCC